TGTGTGCATGCATGTGGGAGTGTAGAAGCCAGGAGTTGATGCTGATGTCTTCATCAATTCATCTCTCCCTTAGACACTGAAGCACAGTTTCACTTGAACCCAGAGCTTACTGATTTGATAGACTCACTAACTAGCTTGCTCTAGGGCTCCTGTCTCTGCCTTTGGAGGGCAAAGGTTATAGGCAGGCTGCCATGTCTGCCCAAATGTACATGGGTATCAGCAATATAAACTCCAGGCCCCTACTGCATGGCAGTCTCTTTACCCACTGAACCATCTCTCCAGCCCTGATTTTTGAAGTATTATTTTCTTGCCTGTCTGATCATCATGCTACATCTTTTCTTTCATTTCACAGGAACGTCCAGACCAACCATTCTACCTTCACTAATGTGCATAATTCTCAGGGACTAAGTATATAATCCACCGGGGAATTTTTTTTTAAAGATTTATTTAATATGTATACAGTGTTCTGCCTGCATGTGTCCCTGCACGCCAGAGAGGGCACCAGATCTCATTACAGATGGTTGTGAGCCACCAAGTGGGTGCTAGGAATTGAACTCAGGACCTCTGGAAGAGGAGCAGTCAGTGCTCTTAACCTCTGAGCCATTTCTTCAGCCCCCTACAGAGGAATTTTTAAAAGCATCACTTAGATACTTTTAAATCATTTAGACCTCTAAGTTTATCTGATAACATGTCATATTTTGATGTTTTTATTTTCCATGTGTGACTTTATTAGATGGTTACTAAGTTAAAATAAATAAGCAAAGCCACAGTCTTGGCAGGCAGACTGGAGCTGGGACCTGGAAGTATTTTTCCTTGTTTCCAGATTATAGCCAGATAGGTAAAATACAAGCATGCCTTTCACATCACCTGCCCCAAGCTTGCCACCTGTCCCCGTAATTTTCTGTCAACTTCAGACAAGCTAGAGTTATCTGAGAAGAGGGCGCTCAATTAAGGAAATGCCTCCATCTAGTTGGCCTATAGACATGTCTGTGGAATGTTGTCTTAAGTAATGATTGATGTGGGAGGGCCCAGCTCACTGAGGGCAGCACCACCACTGGGCTGCCAGTCTTGTCTTGACAGTGAACTTGTAGTAGTGGCCACACACTTCTGGCATGGTTTCAGGTGTGTACGTGATCCCTTTAAGGTAGAGGAGCTGTGGGTGTGCTCTCTCTTGGGTCGTGGAGAGCATCAGAAGGGCAGAGATAGCATCTTCTGGAGCAGGAAGGCTGCAGAGGTTATTTACTATTATCTGTGTAAGTTGCTCCCCAATAAAACACCTATTTATCTTTTATCTTGGGTCTGGTGAACTCATTTAAACCCCGCCTTCACAGGTGGTCCTGAGTTGTATAAGAAAACAGGGTGAGCAAGCCAGTAGGTAGCATTCCTCCATGGCCTCTACTTCAGTTCCTGCCTCAAGCCCCTGCCCCCCTTTCCCTTCATGATGGACAGCAACTGTGAGCAGAGCTGACTGGTTTTGTTATAGTGTTTTCAAGCAGATCCTCTCTCTGCCTTCCATTCTTCCCTATCTCCTTGTGTCCCTCCACCTCAGGAGCATTTTTTTTTTTTATTCTTTCATGCCACATGTACTCTACTACCTTACCCCTTTCTTCAACATCTCTTTTTTTCTAATTTTGTGGTCCCCTATCCAGTCTCATGCCATGCCCCCAATACATACATACAATCATTAACAGCTAGGATCCATATGAGAAAAAAACATATATTTGTCTTCCTAGACCTGGGTTACTTCAGTTAATACAATGTTTTCCAGATCTGTCAATTTTCCTGAAGTTTTCGTTTTTCTTTATGACTGCATATAATTCCATATGATGAATTCTTATATAGTACTCATTACCATGTTTATCAAAGGGCATCATCATCATGTTAGAAGACCCTGGTATATAAACCTGCAATCCTATCCCCTTATAAGTATCCAATTAATGAACTTGCAACTCCTTTATCATCAGCCAGGATGAGGACTGCAAGTGAGGAACAGAGCTGGAAGAAGCAAGTCCCTGTCCACTCCCCCCCCCCCCCCCCACCCCCCCTCCGCGCCCCCCCCCCTCAGTCATAGTCTAGACAAGAATTCTAGGTCATAGATAACCAAGGTTCATTGAAGATCTAAGCTATAAGCAAAGTCCATGGAGTGAGCCTGGTCAAGTTTGGACCAGTTAAAACTCACATCACACTAAAGGCCAGGGTCGGTGTTATCTACAGGAAGCCATGACTTATGGAAGGCATTAAGGACCCTGGGTTTATTTTAACTAGCATTAGTTGAGTAGAGGTGGAAGCAGAACCATCAGGCTCAGGGAGATGTCCAGGGCCAGTGGCCAGGCAGCAAGCACAATCTAAAGTGTCCTGCAAGATACACTCTACCCAGTTCCTTGTGTTGTGGGATTTCAACCCGTTTAGCCAATGACTTTTGGGACAGCAAGCGCTAAGGCATGGTCTCATCTGCTATATGACAACTGATAAGCGGAGGGGGAAGGGTCTCTTGCTCTTTTGCTCGTGTGCTGTCTTGGGAACGGAGCAGATGGCTTGCTCTTCACTCCTGGACAGAACAACTTGACCCTGGAACAATGGCAGCGTCTAACCAGTTCTGTATCAGTGAGTGATTACCACTATTTTATACCTAAATAAATTCTTGAGAACCTTTCCCAGATTTTGGTGAATTCACACCACACCCTTGCTCTCCGTGGTGTGGAGAGGAACTCCGTGGTGGTCTTGGCTATAGCCTCCTCTCTCGGGCAGTCCTCCATCTCCCTTGCTCCTTCAGCTACCTATGCCTGAAGTGAAGGAGAAACACAAGTAGGCCAACCTGAGGAGGAAGGCAACGAGTGAGCTTCTTTTGTCCGAGCTTCCTGAGGAAAACAGCACCTGTCTCCATATGCCCTTGTGAAAAAGACAAGAAACTGACAACACATGGCTCATGTCAGTGTTTGGTGAAAGCTCCATACATGGCTCTTCATCTAGATGAAATTCATCAAGACCCTACTGTGAACTAAACACTATACCAGCTGGCCCACATGCTCCAGTGTGCAGAATCGGGTATGTCCCTTATCCTCACTCAGCATCGGGTCTAAAGAGAAAGCCAGATATGAATAACTACAAAAATAATTGTAAATAATAGCCATGAGAAGGAGGGTATGGAGGTTCCCCACAACTGAAAGCAATTTTGTCAGCTCAAACCCTTGCAGGACACTGGCACAATCTTTGGTGTCTAGCAGTGTGCCCACTGGACAGAGTGGCAGGGCTCTTTTCCTTTGCCACCTGGA